TTTATATATAATTTATATCAAAACTGATAGTACACAGTATAACTGGAAGAAGAACTGAACTTAAAAAGGATATGTTGAAAGAGGATGGAGTTTGTGAATGCAATAAATAAAGCCCCCTTCCCTCCCCACCCGCTCCCCACCCCCAAAACAAAAAGTTGTAATGTTCATGGAAAATTGTGCACAGCAGATATTATAAAAAAGTAGATTCAGGAGCACATCCAATTATAAATGATTGTTAGGAAAATCATATAAAACAATGGAATACATAAAAGTGTCAAGAGTAATCGTTAGGGTGAGAAATTCCTTGGTGGCCAGATGCCCACAGCAAGCAGAAATTATCCTGGTTGCATCAGTAAGAAGTCGATGTCCAAGAAAGTGTGTGTTCAAGCACAGAAGAGGCTCTCCAGGATTTGAACAGCATGGGCAGGTGGAGTGTTTGAATTTCATACCCTGATTCATAGTTTCCACAACTCCATGTGCAATTTTCAGAAAGATTCATCGTTGACTGCCGACATGTCCCCCTTTGGCGTGGAGGAGCGGGACGAGCCCTTGTCTGTGCTCTCAGAGCCCGAGCTGCTCTGATTCTGTTGTTCTGATCCTGCACTGGAGGTCACTGTAGAAGACGACGTGGAAGAGGAGCGAGTCTTTTCTTTAAAGTCTGTGATAATTACTGTGACGTTTCCCACTGTGACTGCCAGCTGCTGTGCGGTACTTCTGTCCACATTTTTCAGTCTGGGTCTGAAACAGAACGAGAAACCCTTTATGAGAAGGATAAAAATGAAGGAGAAAGGAAAAGTTTATCAGAGAAAGCATTCAACAACAAGCTCGTGGTGACTTGTCCTCCACTTGCCTGCACAGACAGCAGCACCTGAGGGGAGAAGCGAGGTGCAAATGCCTCACAGTGGAGGGTGAAGGTTGGACCTTCATGTCTCCACGACAGCCCAGCCTGTGAGGGCAAAAATTCCACCTCACAGAGCTCTGCAAAGAGTGCTCTGCTCTGGACTGAGCCCTGATCCAGCTCAGCCAGAAAGGAGGACAATGCAGCAGAGCCATGCGGACAGGAGCCAGACAGACCGAAGGATCTCCTCCCCAAGGGGCAGATGAAAGAGTTCTCTTATCTAAATTCACCATCACATCATGTGCCCTGATGTTATGAGACAAGGCTGCGACTCTGCAATACAAAACCACATGAAAGCATTCGACCACGGCTCTTTCATTCTCATACTGGAACTCTGCAGCTGGAAACAGCACAGGCACTGGGACAACTTGGCTTCTCTTTCAACTGCTTTGAGCTTATACAAATCAGATGCCCAATCAGCCTACGTATAAAATCACTCAAAATGTTCCCTCTGGAACAGAGGGTATTGGAAATAAAAAGCAGAGTGTGCAATGGTATTTCTTGCAGCTAAATGGTTAGAAGAAGATGAAAAAAAACCAGAAATATTAAAAAAGAAAAAAGAACACACCAGAAAAGAACACAGTGGTATTTATAGCCCAGCATTATCTCAGTAATTTGCATGCTGTGCTATCAGTCAATTAGTAATGTAGCTAATAAGGGTGCAGACTAAGAGGCTGACATTCATGCACATCTCAGGGGCTGGTCCAAAGCTCTGATACGAACAACCCCGGACACTCCTCCAGCTACCAGCAAATTCCCAGTCAGCTGCTGCAACTGCTGCAATTTACAGCTTTTGCTCCTAATTAAGGGTCAGGCTTCAGTGGCAGAATATTCCCAATAGGGAAATTAAAAAGGAGAGTCTTTGCACATCAGTGAGAAGTAGCTTGCTGAGAACTGCCTGGCTCCAAGGGCTGGACAGAAGGTTAGTTTAGTCAGGAACAAGCTCCAGCTTTCAACCCAACCTGCCTTTCCTCCTCGGCCACAGCACACTAGGCTAGTGCGGTTCAAAACAAAAAGGAAAACTAAAAAGAGGAAATTCAGCTGATTTTTTTATGTGCCATGCATACTCAATGGCTCACAGGGGTAAGTTAACAAGGAGGAAGTCCTTCAGTAGGAGTTCTCCAAGTGGCACCCTGCACTAGACAGAACAGAGGCTCCCCAAAGCTGCCGCCGCGCCGGGCGAGCTCCCGCGGCAGAGCCACACGCCCGCGTGGCACAACCGCGCTTACGGGAGCTGGGAAAGGCAGCACAAACCGCAGGGGGTGGAGTGATGTCACCTCCTTCGTGGGTAACCAGAAGGGCCAGCCAGCTCAGCGAGGTCTGGGGTTTCCGTGGGCTTTCAGAGCACGTCTCGGGAGGCGCGGGCTGCCCCGGCGGCTCGCGCAGCAGCGACCGTTCCCGGAAGCGTAGTACGTGGACGTATTTTCCTCCCCGAGCCCCGAGTTCCTCTAGGAAACCCAGTTCTTCCTGTAATTTGCCTGGGTCATTTGTTTTCTCTTGTACTCAGAAAAAGCCAAAAACTGCTGGCCCAGATACCGGAACAGACCTTACTGCCTCCACCTTTCTGCTGGGCTGAACACGCAGTCCTGCTATCGCTTGTCTAAATCAGCGCTGGGGTCGTACTCAGAGGGGGTGAGGGGGGAAAGGCACAAACAAGAAGAAAAGGAGTTTATGTGGCCTAAGCTGTATTGAGTTCTGCCTGGGAAAGCTCCTGCTACCAGCAGTCTTTAAAATAAGCCATGCAGCAAGCGCCTGAATGGAACTGCCCATGCCATGCCCAAGTGCCGTGCCAGGGGCTGGGGAAGCAGGGCTGAGGTGCAGGGTTCCTCCACACTCCTGCTCTCACAGACCCATTTCTCAAGGTCAGGTTTAGAACTGAGCCCTCCAACTGTTTCTGCAGGAGGTTTTAGGGGTCTGCCCTGTGGAAAGAGCTGATGAAGCACAGATGGAAACTTCCAATCTCTTCAGCACAGGCATACAATATTTACTTCCTACCGAAGGCAAAGGGATTGGCCCATTGACGTTATTTTGCAAAATTAAACACCCTGAGGCTTCATCTTTATAGCTAAAAATGTTTACGGCCCAATAAGAAATGTGTTTCAAAACAATCTGAAAGTGCACAGGAAGGCATGGAATAAACCAAGATATTCTGTCAGAAACAGGCAAGGTATCCAAGTTCAAACAGGATTTCTTTAAAAATCCAGAGATCCTTGAAAGACAATTTATAAAAAAAGTTAAGAAATCCAGGCATGAAAAAACTCTCAGACTAACTTGTGACTCTGTAAAAATCAGATCCTTTAAAAAGACTCTTGAACAGGACTCCCAAAGGCAGTGAAGTCTAAGAAAAGTTCCACTAAATCAAACACTTAAAAGTGAAGTTTAGGAAGGATGATGTAGCCCTTAAAGACACTCAGCTAAACCTGAGACCATTAAGGATTAATTAGGAGTGATAAAAGCTTGCTACAAAATATGAACTAAAAGACTTTGCAGTAGACAGAATGACTTCTTCAAGGAGTAAAACCAATTATTTGATGTAATCTATCAATTTGCTATTATGCCATTAGTCAAATGCACCAGGCTTCCTGCATCCTAAGTCCCAAAATAAGTATAATTTCAAAAAGAATGGGACAAAAAAAAAAAATCACTGCAATAAAGCTGTATTTCTCTAATCAAATCAAGAATGAACACTTTGATCTTCAGGGACTGAGAAAGAGTTAACAGCAGTCCCTGTAACAGCACAGTCCTCCAGCACAGCAAACCCCACACTGCCCTCACTACATTCATTTACTGTGTAAAGGATATTTTCTCTTCAACATCTAAAATCTTCCAAGCCAACAGTTTTCTGCAGAGTCATGTCTTGCCAACCTTCCTGTTAACAGCAGTGCCAACCGTGTTGCCCGCGTGCTTGACAACTGTTTGAGGCTAACTTCAGCTGAGGTGGCTTCACTATAAAATACTTATTACAGCACATTTTAAGAGCTAAAATCCTTATGTGGCCCACATAGGTGAAGCACCCCATTGAATTCTGCCTCTTGTAGCTCCCAGAGTTCGATAATATAAAACTTGATGGTGAATTTTTGACTTAAGAAAGCAAGCACAAGACCCCTCTTCAAAAAACAACGCATGGAGGATCAGTGTTAGCAAGACCAGGAATAAACCTCTCTCCACAGGCAGCTTAGACAAATATGAAACCAATGATTCATGCTTTCTGTTGATAGCAAGATTCTAGCAAATCTTTCATGCAAGTCTTTTAATTCCCATATACTTAGAAAATCATCTTGACAATTACAGCAGCTGAATTACGGATAAGGAGGTAACAAAGTAACCTTTGTTACTGCTATCAATTGATGATAAGAATTTGATAAAGACCACTACGATTGCTGGTTAATGATTTTCCCCCCACTGAGTTTCACAGCCAAAAGCATTACTGCTCAATTGACGATACGATTATTTCAGTAGAGAAATGAAAACTGAATGGACAACAGAATAAATATATCCAATCCCTGAATCTGTCCTCACCAGCAGAGCGTTTGAGGGCTTGTAGATGGAGAAGGCTCGTAGCCACGGATGGGCTTGCCATACTAACACTGGCAGACTCTGTACTCTGGCTCTATCCAGCAAAAAAACAGCTTTTTAACACAGTTCTCAGACACAGAAAGCTTAACTTTAGTACTCAGTTACCTTGAAGTGTGATTTGAGTCGCTGTTCTTCGTTGTGGTGTTCCCAGACTGTATGCTGTTCGCTTCGCTGGGAGGGTCTTTCACAATATCCGACTTTGGTCTGTGAGAATGGGAGGGGAGAGGGAGAGCAAGATGTTAATTTAACTGCACAATTAATCAATGCACAGGGCTACTCAAATCACTCCATGTTTAACAGCACATCCTTCAAACTTACTTAGTCTTCTTGTTAGTGTTCTTCTTTGTAACACTTGGACTAATTTCCTTCTCCTTGTCAGGTTTTTCTTTGTCTTGTTTTTCCACTTTCTCCTTCTTCTCCTTCTTAGGTGGTGGTGGGGTTGCATATTGCTGGGCAACTTGTTGTGCCACCAACTGAGAGTTTATTCTAGGTTTTCTATAACGACAAAAAAAAAGAGATCTGTAGTCAATTTTACATAGTAAAAATGACTTCACCAAAACAAGTACAAAGATTTATTTCAGCAGCCAAGGAAGAATATTCCACTTAGAAAGAAACAAATGGATGTCCTTATTTAATGCGAAGTGATGCTACCGAACAAGAGAGAAATTTTTAAATAAATAAATAATCCAAACTGCTGTTTCATCAGTTTTTAGCCTCATCTAACATTCTTAAGTATAATGCTCCCTTTCTTCCATCCATGTCATGAAATCACAGCCAGTTCTGGAGGACAATAGTGAAAAAGCAGCTTTTAGGAAGTTGCCAGCCATGCACTGTGGCTACACTTTAAGAAAAGGAACACAGAGAGTGATAGAAATAAGTTTCCTGATAAACATGGGTCTCCTTCCTAAGTTTGAATTTAATTTTGGAAATGGGCTTCTGGTTCCCTGAAGGAGCAAACCTCACAACAAAGGACAAGAGAAGGTAACTGAGCTGACTTTGTCCCGAGGGCCGGGCTGGAGCTTGCAGGCAGGAGCAGAAGACAAGTGGCCATTCAGGGTCCCAGGGGAAGGGCCGTGCCAGGCTACGACACACCGTCCTCACACCATTGTCTGCAGCCCCAGCACTGCTCCAGCACACACAGCCAAGCTGCCTGCCAGAGACCACTTCAAATTCTGACTGACACGAAACAGTAGCTCCACGTGGAACCAGTACCTTGGTTATTGATCCTCACACACCTCATGGGTATTTGTACCTCTGTCTCTCCTGCATTCCTCATCCAAACTCTTGTGTCCAGCAACTCGAAACCTCTCCCTCCTGGCCTGGTGTACCACAAAGCAGTTTAAACTCTGAGCACTCTGACTATTCATGATTGATTCGGTCCCTTCAACATGCCAGAAAGATCTATGCTCCCTGTGCCCACACAGCTTGGGGGTGGGGGAGAAAACCACGTTATCAGCTCCATTCCTTGTCCCTTTTGAGCTGAATACTAACTGTAACAGTTGCTCGAGCTTGTCCGTAGCAGTTATATAGGTCACAAAGGAGTTTCACATTTTCTACAGAGATCAGACTACAACAGATTGTCAACAAAAGCAGCACACAAGTATCATTAAATCTACAACTGGAACACAGAAACCCACGGGTTTCTGCTGCAGAGCTCTGGACCTGCACCTAGTTTTCACTACAAACATCTAGAAAAGACTAAGAAGCTACTTAGTGGCTTCACGTGATTAAAAACAAACAAGCAAACAACAAAACCACACAAATTGCACAAATGTAAATATCTGCATGTAGAGATGATACTGACAATGGAACACCCAGAGAAGCTCTACTCCTTGTCACAAGAAAAACTAAATATCTAATAAGTTTCTCTTGGCAGTGGTTTTCTGTATAATGGTACCAAAATGTTCTTACTGAAGCCAGATATACCAAACTATTTTGTTTCACTACCACAGCTTATTATAAAGTCTATGCAACAGGCTGTAATTAGGCCCCTGACCCATCTCGACACCTCTGACATTTGGATTTTTCACCCAACATAGAAACTGCAACTCATTTTATGCTACAATCTGCATACATTTCTGAGTGGACAGAGGTGATCTGGTCTTCAGCCTTAAATAACTATGATCCTGAAATCTTCTGCCGATCAGACCAGGCAGTCACCTCTTCCACAGAACAGTGAAAATGTCCTTGTATTTAAAGTCCCATACATGGCAACTTCTGTCTGTATGACTGAGAATAAACACGTAAGAAAAAGTGGTTTGGTTACACGGAAAAGATTTTCAGATTGATGCAACCACACTAAAAGCTGACAACAGTAGCTTGTGTCAAACAACCTGCTGATCGCCTACTCAAAAAAAAAAAAAGGGAGGGAAAAAAGAGATAAAGCGTCAAGAAATCTTCAAAGAAAGGGCAGATACCATCTCCCTACGTGATAATACACGATTAGCTCACTGTGGGAAGCTGCCACTTCTACCCAGACTTACAGTTATTTGCTGTTTACTCAACCAGCTAAGTCCGAAACACGAGCCACTCATGGGAAATCCCAACTCAAGAATCTGAGAGCACCACCAAGTTTTCCTGCTTTGCACAACATTATGCGTCTGCTCATGATGTTATTTCCAAGCTTTATGCCCAGCCTTTGCAGCTGCAGAGCTGTGCTTCCTGCTGCAGGAGTGCGGCACTGCTTGAATGAAGTTTCAAATTTTAAAACAGAAACCTCAACTCATCTAAAATTTGAAAATACATAAATAAAGCACACTGCATTTCCCTGGAGAAGGCTGGAATCCAAAAAAAAGTCCAGCCTTAACAAGCTCTGTGGTAACACTTCGCCCCATGCTCTTCCTCTCCTTATCTGTGCCCGTGACTGCACACTACACTACATTTATTAAGTGTTATCATTTTTCTGGCCAGCTGCTGATCTAAGTAACACAACTTCTCAAACCCCATATTTACATATTCCTTCTTACACACCATGATGGCTGGCTGGAAAGGGCAAAGCCCAAACTAAAAGGGAAGAGAGCAGGCAGGGGGGACCAGCCCTGCTGATGGGGTTTCTCCCACTCCACCAAGGATGGGCACAGAAAGCTGCTGAGACTCTGGTAAACACTGAGAACGTTTCACGGTCTGCTCTACTGCTAGAACAGATTTATGTTTAAAAAATAATGCAAATAACCCAAGAGCTTTCCAATTCCTGATTTGGTTGTTTTACTCACACTAGCAGCAAGCTTAGGAAGGTTACAAAACAGGTGGGTTAAGCAAGAGGCACACCAATAGTAGTAATAATAGACTAATAAAATCCTTCAAAGGCAGCCCACACTGCCACTACGGCCAGGATACACTGGTCACAAGCCCTTTACAAAAAAGCCAAGCAAAGCAAGTAGAGCAGTGCATTTTTAACCACGACAAACTATAACCATAGTAACCACAAGCAAGTAGAGTGACTGCAATACCCAAAACATGCCCCAGGTTTCCCCGTCTACCAGCACCATGCTCCAAAGGCTAACGCTGCTCTAGGCCAGCACCCCTGGCACAGCTCAGCCCTCCAGACACTGCTCCTGCCTCCACAGCCACCCCTGCCATACCCTGGTCACACTGCCTGTCACGGCAGCCACCCTCCTCGTGGGTCTCGTGAAGTCTCCTCCTGCTGTGGCAGCAGGTAGCTTGCACTGCCTTCTAGAAATGAGGGGAACAAGTAAATCCAGCAACACTTTTCACTGGATAACAGCCTGAGACTCCCTGCCCCTAGTTTTGTTCCAGCTTACTTTTACAGCTGTGGCAAACATCTCACAGTGTTTCACCACTTGCATTTTCTTCTGGATGTCAAATCTCCCCTTTAAAGCCTGTCTTGGGAGCAAATCCAGAGCCCTGACACCCAGGAATCCTGCGGCTCCGCTCCCAACCCCTGCAGTGGGGCTCAGGAGTAGAGCAGCACGGACCTCCACACATCCAACACGTGGCTGTTACTCGGACCTGGATTTCAACAGAGATATAGGAGGATAATTTGCACATATTTTTCACGTGATCCTCATTTCTGCATCTGTTTGGGATTTGTTTGGTCCTGCTGCCTTGAGAAAAGGCAGGTCCCCTGTCTCCTGCAGACACCGCGGAGCAGAGGCAGCCGCTGGCTCTCCACCCACGCAGAGACCTTGAGGGACTCAGGCAATCCCCAGAAATCTGGACCTAATTACAACTGCTCTTACTTTCCAACAACTATGTTATCAGAAGAATGAAAGTGGCATCGAGTGGGATTTCAGAGTCAAAAACCTCATGTAAGGCGACGTACGGAGGATTTGGATAATTTCATGCTGCTCTGGCTTTGATGCAAGCAGAGACACCAGCAGACCTCAGCACGACTCAACATTTCTTTGAGAAATGTGCTTCATACACTGTGCAGTGTGAAGTACACTATTATTTTAATAATCCTAGTAACACATGAATAGATCTTTGCTCAGAAAAACAAGAAAACAAGACTACAAGTATTCCCATGAATGTTTTTAATCTAAACAGTTAGTGCCAGAACAATAATACAATAAACATACTTCTAAGTGATGTTGTACAGCAAGATTAGAAACTAACCCATGAACACAAACAAAATTTAACAACTCCTTAAAAGAATTTTATATCTGGAAGAACCAAAGCTTTGGAGAAATTAAGCCACAAACATGATGGGGTGAACACTCACTCTCGCCTGCCTATTTTCCAGCTCTTTTGTGATGACCACATGGTGCTTTTTAGCAAGAAGGATGGATGGACAAACTGTCCTTAGTGTACAACTGCAGAGCAATGTGGAAGCTGCATACATTTATCTGAGAAGTTCTTCATGTAAGAGAGGACTACAAGGCATTGACAAAACCAGTAAAAGACGACTAGAAGGACAAACAGGAAGAAATGCTCAAGTGAGAAATGTTTTGTTTAAAGAACAGAATTTTCCTTTAACCTTGATGTGCTAACACTGTGCTTTTATTTAGAAGGCAGATGTTGAAAAATACAGAAGTTAATCTAAGGAACATCATCTTCCAGGCTGCAGGTGCTGGTTTTTCACAGTATCACCAGCAGGACAGAGTTCTCTTTCAGCTGAAGAGAACAGCACTTCCCACTAACCTTATCCAGAAGGGCACAGCAACTCCTCTGAAAGACTGTTAAGCCTGAATCTGTTTGCAAAACACGTGAAAGAAAATAACAGCTTGACATAAACAAAACAATTGTTAGCCTCAAAATAAAATTTACAAGTGTATGGCCACCTCCAGAAAACCTCCAAACTGTTGAACATTCTCCTTGACCACCCAGCCCCCTGCCTCCTATCTCCTTGGGTGAGCCAAGAATAGGCAATGCAGAGATAAAAGAAGCCTCACCTCTGTAATAACTATTCCTGGCCACGACAAAAAACCTTGAGCTGTTCAGATTTCAGAAGAGTATTTTAAACTTTGCTTGCCCACCGGAAGTTTTTAGACTTCAGGTCATTTCTCACAGTTTGAACCTTCCTTCCCCCCCAAGTA